GTTATAATAGTATCAAGCGTAGCTCATCAACATTCCTTTATTTCCGTTGTATGAAAAAGGTGTCTCTGGCGGGATTCAAACTTGCAACTCTCACACCATTAGACTACGCATGCCTACGGTATACGCGCAGATCTAGCTCCCAGGCACTTTATCACACTGACTGAAAGGCTCACTCATAGTGTAGCTGTGGGTAAGCTAGAAAACATGGTAGATAATATTCAAATCAAGTTTGCTGCGTAGCACCGAATGAAATAGAAAAATAATAGTAATAATGACAGTGTTCGAATAGGAACATTTGAATAGGGACATTAACCGTGTGTGCGGAGTCCTTGGTTCGAGTCCCCTAGAGGCTGGATTCCTTTTCTTTTCTGAATCTTCTGTTATCATTTAAATTTATATTATTCGTTACAGTACTGTACAGTAGAACGTACGCCCTCCGGTCCCGTACCGTACGTAAAATCGAGGTTCTACTGTACAGTATTCCACTTGCTGATTCTGGGTTTCCCATATGCCTTTAAATCTCTTTATACAATTGATCAATATTGTTAATGAAATTTATAATGAAGTACCATGTATATCTCGGTTATGAAATGACACATTTATAAATACTTCAAAGCACACTTGAGTTAATTGCGGCAATAATTATTTATTAAAACGAAATTTTCGGTAGCACCTGCTATCTTCGTCATCAGCCTGCAGTATATGTGTAAACAGTTAAACAATTAACAATTGATAGGCCTATGCAATGAGTGCTGCTATTATATATAAACAAGGTAAGCCAAACGGATTTTAGCCCTAATGAGAGTACTGTCAGTCTAGTACTGTAGAAAATTAGTAGGGCTAGAACATTAGCACTTAGAATAATCATGGAACATACCAAAGAGTATTTAGAACAAGAGAGCCAACTATGCTTATTGAGAGCGTAAAAAACGATACGCCATACGCAGCTAGTGTAGGACGCCAACTAACGCTTGCAGGGGCGGATTTAGGGGGGGGGGGCGGCCCGGCCAACTTTCGGCCCCCACTTTTGGACATCTCTGGATCCGCCCCTGGCTTGTATGTACTTTTTATTACCATAGAAATATAATAATAAAACATGGTAAATAATATTCAAATCAAGTTTGCTGCGTAGCACCGAAAACACATATGAAATAGAAAAATAATAGTAATAATGTTTAATAGTTCTATGTTTATTACCCAGTACTCCACCGCGCACGGTCTGTTTGTCACAGTATTGTACTTTTGTTTTCTGCTTACTGAGTTCATAGCGGGCGTACTTTTACTGCGCTGCACTGGGTAATAAAAAGTACATACAACCGTCATTGGGCGTCCTACGCAGGCGTGACGCTTTCAAAAACAGGAGTACGCTCTCTTGTTATATTTAGGCTCTTTGAACATACTAGCAATTATCGGTAAATAAAATATAGCAGGAAAGTTACAAATTTAAGTGTGTATTAAGTAAAGCCTGAAGCAAGCCTAATCCCTTATTTTCAAAATTCATGAAATTTCTGCACATCTTCTTTTTCGTTGAGGACCTAAAATTATTATCTATTATGATGCATTTTGCAGTATTAAATTCCCTGGATTCATTTCATATTAGTTATGTTGTTTAGCCAAAGGTAGTTTTTGTTTCTAATAAAGCTCTAGTGATTATTATCTTTATGTGGAGCCCTTTCTCCGACGTAAAATACCACTTACAGCACATCATTAATAGATGATATGATATTGTGGGTGTTGCAAGTTAGTGACGATAGCTGGATGATACTTTTAGTGTTGGGTATAGGTATGACACTGTCTCTGTTATGAGGATATGACAGCAGGCTAATGAGAGGAATTCCCCACATCTACCCCAGAGCGCGTTATTTACCAATGGCGGCGTCAGATTCGGGTCCAATTGAGTTTCCCCACGGAAAATGGCACTTTAAGCAAAGACTTATAACTGTTACAGTTATACAGTTATAAGTCCTTGCTTTAAGACTGTAAAATTAATGTTCAGTTTTTTTTCCGAAGGGTCCAGAGTTTTTTCTTTCTTAATTGCTAGAAGATTTATTTTGTCCATAAGCCTTGTAACTACTTTGTGACTTCGTACCCTCCTATCTAACGCCCACTGTTTCTACCCCAAGAAGAGATATTATACGCGTCCTCCTGAAATTTCCCACCCACCTCAGTCCCACTATTGGGGCTAGGGTGAGCAAATTTTAAAATAGACACCTCCAGATACCCCAAAATGGTATTCGGAGACCGTAAAAATATGTAGTTTTCTATATTTATTCCCGACGGAGTCCCAGAGTCTTGTTCCCAAGATTGCCCTTATGTTTTCCAAAATCCGAAATATAAAGTCTTTCTCCATCTTATCGTTACCGGTTTGACTTTCAGTCAAGAAGACATTTGCTGCTTGCCATAAACTGCGGTTGTAGACCTTTCAATAATTCGATCCTATATCTACCCCTCCTGTTATAGGTCAACTCCTACGCTTTTGGAGTTTTTAGGAGTTCGGTTTTACCCGCCAGAACCAGAACCATTGCAATAACAGAGGTAAACTTGTTATAGATTGGGCCCAGACAAGATAATAATTGATCACAGAAGTTAGAATTATGCTTTAAATGTGAAGAGATTTTGTGAGAATACAGTGTATTGTAATTTTGTTTAAAAAAAAGATGTGCCTTCAAAAGGATCAATTGGCATACAAACGATTTGATTGGTGAAATATTGGTTCGGTCAAAATCGGATCGCTTGACAAATAGAGCATCTGGGGGTTACCGCAAGGTTTGTTACCTGATCGCGGATGGGAGGGTGACATTACATAAAACAATAGGACGTCAAGAAGGAGTTACGACTTGGCAATTGCAAAAATATTTAATCATGTTGTTTTTATATATTATATTTATATTTCTGTTGACTGTGTTCTTGCTACACTGCTGAGAGCTCTAGTTGTGGGCATGCGTCATATCTATTCTATACAGTTGTTCATCCTTTCTATTGTGGTTCGCAAGTAGCCTCCGAGTGTGATTACAGCAACCGCAGTGCAGTGACCAAAACAACCATATCCCCCATCTTAAAAAACAAAGAAATGGTAACATTGTAAAAAAATACTTAAGATTAAAACTAAGTAACGTATGTGGTAACTCGCTACCTAAAAAAATAGTAATATACATTTAGTAAGAGAAGAGTGATACAGATATATACTACACACATCCATGTTTATATTTATATATACATATATACATATATATGTATATATCTAACGATTCTTAAAATACTTTTCAATAATAAATTTAAATTTAACGTAAGGATTTTTTTTTAAATCATCCAACCATTCGACGCAACTATTTATGCAATTTAAAAAAAGCGCGAGCAAAGTCGCGTTGATAGTGACGTCAATCACTAACAACGCAATTAACTTCGCTTGCAGTTTTTCAGATAATGGTGGTGCTGTATAGGCAAATAGGTCTATACATACTGTAAATAACGAGCCAAATTATATATCAGATTTATGCCACAATTTTTGTTTCATTGCCACAGCTTAATAAAGATTTTTAGTGGATAGTATATTATTGCTCAATTAGGCCTACTGGCGTACAATAGCTGAATTAGTTCCAAGCCGAAATTTGAAAGTTTCCGATGCGCTAAACTCCAGCGTCCCCCATACTGATCCCATTTTCTGATAGGTTCGGTAGGCTTTTCGATGCAAAAATTGAATTCGGTATGAATAGGCCTACACCTTAATCTACCAACAGACCCCAGATTAGCGTAGTACGCCACTGAATTACACATTTCTATATTTCGAGCGAATACTTACACGCAGCGTGTTACGTTACTTGCTGCGCGTTGGTTACACATTGAATTAACGTATGCCCGGCGTTAGATACGCGTGGCGTATCTCTCAAGTCTGAAACAGGTCTGAACGTAATCGGCAGTCGGTCGGCGTTGCCAATGCACTAATTAAACTAAGGTATCTTAGAGCAGACTTAAATTTAAAATTAAAGTGTCTGGACGGAATTACATAAATACAATCATATTCGTAGAGCGATTATTCCGTCCAGGTTAAGGTTAGCTTGTGACGAACGCCCCCAGTCGTGACAACGTTTTAGCGTCGTTTGGACAATTGGAGAGTATGGTAAACTTAAGAATTGCCTTTGATCTTACCTGATGTCAATATGTTCACGACAGAGAAACATCCACTATCTAATTGCCAGCTAAGAATGTGATTTAACCAATCAGAACGCATGAATTCATCATATCCTAATAAGCCACCACAGAATGCAACTGGAATTAAACAATATTTATTTATGGTATTTAAAATCTTGACTGATAAAGATAGTAAAAATATAATAATAATAATAATAATAATAATAATAATAATAATAATAATAATAATAATAATAATTAATTATTATTATTATTATTATTATTATTATTATTATTATTATTATATTAAAGATTATGATAATAATAGTGATAACAAAAATATTAGTAGTATAATACTAACGCCGATGCTGGCGGCGGCAGTGGCAACGACGGCGACCGTCACCACCACCACCACCACCTTTACCATCGTTACCATCATCTTCATCAATATTGTCATCATCTCTATCATCATCATCATCATTTATTGTTATTTTGTAGGTAATATTATAATCATTATTATTTTTAGATTTTTAATATTGACTTACTTTGTTCCATAAACATATCATGGTCGTATCGGCCACTAAAGTCCGTTTTAGCAAGCTCGTCAGCTTGTTGATAAATACGAGAACAGAGACCTGTGATAACTTGCCTATTTCGCTGTCGTGTAAGGTCGTAGCTTAAGCATTGAAGCTAAAATGTTCCAAACATAGATACACTCATTATACACAATCGTTTTTACAGGTATTTTTTGGGTCTACTACAGGAATTCGACTTTTCTGTTAACTTATCTATCTTAAGCCATGTCCAGACTATCAATCTTTATTTGACAAAAACATGTGACATGTCTAAATATGGTCATGATGACATCACATCATATTTAGGCACATTGTGACTATTATGGGCATACAACAGTTTTTTGTCAAAGAAAATTTGTGCACAGGGCCTAATTATTATGATGCTAGGCGATTATTATTGTGTAAATATGTAAAAATCACTGGATAGCAGTGTTGATATTGTCATTGCAATCGTCGCCGCCGTCGTCGTCGTCGTCGCGGTCGTCATTGTCAGTGACACTGTCTTAAATGCCTACCATTTCAAAATCTCGGAAATTCCTTTTTCATTTTATATCCTCCAATTATTGTCATCACAAACAAATACTTATCAAGTTAACATTATTACTATAAAATAAGAAAAATAAATATTGATGCTGTTTTATCATTTTGTATAGAAATTTAATAATGAGTTGTACTTACGTGGTCTATCAGCATAAAATAGAGCAGTTGATGAGTGACCTCATAACCTGTGTATCCATCCGCTTCCATTATATCTAAGCAAGCACGAGTCACTGTACATTGTTTTCTTGAATGTCTACAGAACGGAATAATGTAGATAGATAGATATTTTAAGGACAAGCTAAAAAAAATCGAGCTTAACCACTTTTCTAAAGAAATAAACACAGGACCCTTAGATTTGCAGGCAAGAATCCTCACCACGAAGCTATTCAAATTCACTCTAATATAATGTGTTTCAAACGTGTGTGTACTCATTTTCAAATGTGATTTAACTACAAACTATAAGTAACTTTATTAACAATTTCATAAAGCAAAACAAAATTGAAATTAAGTTGAACATGATAGATAGAAAACATAATGCAAATAAAAGTTTATATTGTACATTATCTTTAAACAAATTATATAATCAATAATTATTGTGATGCATAGTGCAGAGTGTAATTGCAATTGCAAAATAATTTTAATTTAAAATAATTTTTTTGTGCTTACTAATACAGGATAAATTATTAAGGTTAGTAAAGCTAAAGCTCATGGAATTTAAACATACATAATATTGATGATGAATTATATATTTATAATTATAATAATAAAACTAACAAGATTCATGTGCTATAATTGAATTGTATATTTGTAAATAATCATAGAAGAAGCAATGTTTAGGCTTGGTGGCAATATATTCTTTTATTTTTATTTCGTTTTAATGTTTTAACAAGTCTTTACAATTTTGTCACCATCTTTTGTAATAAAATTGTGATTAGTTCTATTTATTTCATTGGTTTCCATGTTTGTTTACAAATGTTAGAATAAGTATTTAATTTTAACTGATTATTTAAACATATAATAAACTATAGGCCTATTAGAAAAAATTTAATTATTCAATTAATCAATCGCCACAATTTACTTTGGCTTAATGTCCAGAATCGTCTTCAAGTACAGTGGGTGCGATAGGCGCATTCATGACTGTTGAAAGTACAATGTAAAGTCCATTAAAATACCATGTAGTAAAATAAGGTAAAAGGTATTTATGATACATTTTGTTAATTATGATGCACCGAATATTTGATGCATTCACATGAAGAAAAAAATACAACATGTTAAATAGTTTTATTCGCTGTAACTTTATATTTAAATATTTAAAGTCTATTTATAATTGCTGATGTTTTGTTAGGCCGACGCAAAGAATATTCTTGTGCCACTGTGTAGCAAATGTGTTTTTCTAAGAAATTCAAATTAAGAAAGCCACCGAATCTTAATTGAAAGGTCTGCGGCTCGGAAATTTGATGGAGGATTATAGAGTATGTTGTTCTCGCCAGTTTGTCAATGACTTTTAACAAAAAAGAAGACATGTTAAAGATGTCAAGAAATGATCTCACGGGCAGGAGAGCCTAAAGTTATAATTAATTTGAATAATTACAGTACTGTACTTCACGTATTTCGTTTTTCCTTTCTTTTCCGTATTATATTTCTTAACTTTGTTTTTCCTTTTCATTTCTTTTTTATTAATCTACTTCCTTTCATTCTTCCTGTTGATTCTCTATATATCTTTTCTTTACTTTTATTCCTTTTAACAATTCCCTTTCTTTCATTTTCCTTCACTTATCTACAATTTCTTTCCCTTTTTTGCCTTTTCTTTTAATACATTGACTTTTTTGTTACTTCTTTTACTTTTCCTATTAGGCCTATAATTATTATTATTTTTTTTTTCCTGTCTTTCAAATTCCTTTTCTTTCCTTTTTACTTTACTTTATCCTTCCGTTGTCTTTATTTACTTTTCGGTTTCCTTTCCTTTTACTTACTTTTTTTCTATTCGTTTCTCTTTTTAGATTTTTCTTTCCTTTTTTCTTTCTTTAACTTTTCCTTTTCTTTTTAATTTCTGTCATCCACTTAATTTTTTCCTTTTTCCTATTCTTTTTTTTCTATTCCTTTTTCTGTTTCCTCATTCACCTTATCTTTTCTTTTCTGTCCACTGCTTTATTATCATTTACCTTTCATTTTCCTTTTTTTCAACACTTTAACTTTAACACACAAAATGCATTATAAATTGGCCGAAACCATTTTTAATAAACATACTGTATCAACTAGAGGGTTAGAGAGCCTCCCTTGTACCCATTAACTGATAAAGACTTCAATCTACACAATATTCATGTGATATTTATTCAGTATTCATCGGCATTACCGGTAAAGATTCACTGAAAGGCAAACACTTACATAAATTAGGGCATCGGTAGAAAACGTTTAGTGGCTCCGTTCATGGGCTGGTTTGCCAATAATGTTGAGCAATGGGTTTTGAATAGGCCTATGTAATTTTTATGAGCCCTTTTTTCAGTTGTACAGTGTATAGTTTCTTTTAGACCTAACATTTTAATTTAGTATGCGTCAACTATTATAATTTAATTTAGGTCTACGTCAGCCACTAACGGTAAAGACTTCGCTCAAAGGCAAATACTTAATGTAAATTAGTGCCCGTAGGCTTGTTTATTAATAATGTTGAGCAATGAGTTTTAAATGTGTCAATATTATGAGTTCTTTCACAGTTTTACAAAGTGTAGCTTCATTTAGACCTACATTTTAATTTTAGTACCGGTATACGTCAACTATTAACATATAGTTTAAGTTTACGTCAGCTACTAAATCAAAGACGTCATGTGTTTTTAGCATAGAACGTAGCTTTCGTTGAAATTGTTTTTTATTTCTGGAATATATTTCTGGAAATTACTAATCTTTAAAAAAATACATTTTGTTTCTACGAACAACACAGATTATCTAAAATTACCAAACACACACACACACACATACACACCCCCCCCCCCACACACACACACACACATATATATATATATATCTTGACAAAGGTTGATAACCGAAAACGTTTGCTCACTATTAAATAAATATATACCTGGCAACTTATTCCCATTCCACACACATTCAATCAAACCATTGAACTACACATTTTCAAGCATTTATAATTTACAAGTGATTAACTTTCATTAAAAACACAAGTTAGTTTTTATACTTTTTGCTACGATAATTTAAATGGTTTGAAAGACAACGGCTGAAGTTACAACATGACCAATAATTAAAAATTTAATAACGGTTTAACTATTTAATGTTTTATTATTTGAATTATTATTATTAGTTCAGCACCACAAACAGTATGTATAAGTTCTACTGTTTTCTCTACTCTCTCCGTTCCACGCGCCTCAGGATATTGGTTAAGTAACAATTATTGTTGTGTCTTCTTAATAATGTGACCATAATAATAATAATAATAATAATAATAATAATAATAATAATAATAATCATAATAATAATAATAATAATAATAATAATAATAATAATAATAATAATAATAATAATAATAATAAATTTATTTTTATATAGTGAAGAATGATATAAACGTCTATGCGCTTTACATTAAAAGCAAAAGCCGGAATAAAATTAAAAGAAAAGATGATTAAAACAGCGAGCGAAAAAGAAATGAAACGGGGACCAAGAGATCTCCACGGTTGAAGCTAGCTGCTGCTATGGGCGTGGCACATTGTAGAAAGAAGGGTCGGAGTTGTCTCGTGCAGTATGTGTGTAATGGAATCTTTAAAAGCCAGCCATGAAGCACGATTTTCATTTATTCATTGGTTAGTATTTAGACTTTTATGATTTATAGGCCTTCGAGTGTGATGTAAGCAAATTAGAAAATTACAAGAACGAGCGTTTTTTGGGTTCTCGCATCTTTCTCTGCGTGCATACCAACTCGACATTACCTTAATATTATTATTGTTCATAAAAAGAATTCTTTAGAGATCTCATCTTGTCAAATGCTTATAAGAAGAGGATGTAGGCCTATCATCTATTTTTTTTTATAAATCAAGAACTAGTGCTGTCTAATTACGCATGCGAATAACATGGAAAATTAGGCGTTTTAATCTGATTTGAATTCCCAACAAAGCCTTAATGGCCTAGTTGGTTAAGGTTCTGCATAGACCTCAGAAGGTCCCAGGTTCAAATCCTGGTTTGAGCACCTGTTTTTCACACTCGCAGATTCCTATTTAACGTTTAATATGTGTTTACATTTATTTATGGCGTTACCGCAAGACGGTTTAGAGTTATCGCTATTATAATCAAAGAGGTTGCATAGACAGTGACTGATAAAAATCAAAGCAGTTGTAATCTGCCATTTTCATTTGTCATTATCAGTATGATTATCTTTATTATTATCATTATTATTGGCATTTTCAGTATCATTATCTTTATCATTATCATTATTATTATTTGAATTAGTATTGGCTGGCTTACCCGGTTCCAAGCAATTCAGTCAAACACTCATCACTAGCTTCCTCTGTTAGTTCACCTTTGTTTTTGATTCCAAACAATATCGGATTCTCCGTTAAAACATTATGTTGACGTTTTACATTCCAGAAATCCTTTTTAATAAGATCTGAAAAGTCTGAATCAAGGAATAAAAAAGAATAAAATTTAAATAATAAAGCCCTTTGGATTTCTGCAGTTGTTTTAACATTATGTTAGTATTTAGCATAAATGACACGACTTTCATTGGATTATTTGGTATATAATTAAATAAATAACAATTCTAATAGTCCAAACAAGTACAATGCTCTGAAGGTGTATGACGCTACACAGCGCGTTGAAACACGCTCTGGAAATGAAGCGCGAATAATTCAACACGAAAATCATGTTTACTTCTAATATCCCGCGGTAAACAGATGAAAGTGTATCAAATTATCCGATAGCCGATCCAGATTATCAGTAAGATGTCGTGTGTATTAAATTTATCATCTGGTGGAAAGCAAGTACGTGTGACTAATTTAAGAATTATTTCATAGAAGCGAGCGTTGGCGATGTGAAATATACTACAAGTTGAGAAATCGCTTCTTATTTAGCAGACGACTTAATCAGGGCGTAAAAGAATCGACGCCACGCACCATACAACGTTGCAGTCATTTATAGGCACAACAATTGTTTAAATTTCAGATCAATTTTCAACCAAATTACCTTCGATAATGATAGATTGACGATGTGGGGATAATGTTACAACGAGTGTGTATTTTAAAGTTCACCGTTATTACGGATCAATGGGATGCAAAAACAATAATTCTGCACACAAATAGGCATATTCTTTGTGGTCATGATGTGATGTCATTGTTCGGAGATGCAAAGTTCCAATAATAAAATAATGGTGTCAGAACGTTAAAATGTTTCTACATCAGCCCCACCCATAGCCATGTTAGAGTTGAAGTAACAGTTGACTCAAACCATCTAAAATGTTTAGCGTTACCACTCCCCCTCCCCATTCACCCCACTAAAAAATCCTAGGCCCGCCTCTGTAACCTCAAGTGTGCAAACGGGACCAACTGTTTTTCATCAACCTGTGTGTATATGTGCATGTTTATAGAACTAGAACTTGCTTTGATTTATCATACATGCATATACACAAACAGACTATATGCACGGATGCCTCCGGTATATATTTTAACATGCATAAAATTATTTATATTTAAGTGTAACCCACACACATAACCCCCCTCCCCCCACAAAAAAATAAATAAGAATAATAGACAGTTTTGATGAGTACACTTACGTTCATAATATGCAGGTAGAGCTTTGTATACGAAAGGTTGGGCGAGTGTTACTATTTCGTCAATACGCGTTGAAATTCCTTGTATGGTAGTTTGGAGATTGGTTCCGGACCCAATGTATGACATTGACTCAATGGCGGCTGCAATTTCAGCTAAAGGAGAACACAATTAATAAAATGTAATTTATTTTTTTATTAGCATTAATAAACCGTTTTCCTAATTTATTGTACATAGGCCTATCACAAATAAAACAAGTAGATTTATTGATTTGTTACAATTGGTTGAGAGATTATAAAAATAATATATGTCTAATGGCTACTTAAGCTTACGTAAAGAGTAAACAGATCAGTTTTGATATTTAAATATTTATGTGTTATTATTTATTTAATTTGATTTAAGTTCATATAGGTAGAAGACCAAGGATATGCCAATAACAACCCCGAATTTAATCACTTTACCAGCAAGCTGACTTACAGTAGGCAAAAAGTACAAAGGGTCGTTCACAATCATCAATCTCACAAGTGTACAAACAATACGCTAGAGGGGGGGGGGTGGGGTTAGACAAATGTGTAGACTTCTACATATGCATGAAAATTGTAATTCAAAGTAACATGCAATATTTCAAATATATAGATTTTTATGACAAATTATATTAAATTTGGAGGTTTTGTAACGCTCAATCGTCTCCTCACCTGCAATATGCCATTTTTTTTTTTTTTTTTATAAGAACCACTAAAATTTTGCTCATGTTCAGTGTTCCTATTTTTAGGCGATTTCAGACTCAAAATGTTCTTATTTTGTTCTTATTTTACGCAATTTTCAAACATAGATAATTATTATTGTACAGCAGTATAGCCCTACTACTGTACTGGAATGTAGGTAAAATGGCCCCGGAAAAAATGGTCCCGAATGACAGTTCACCTATTGAATTTAGAGGGTATTACATAAGTCACACCTAAACTGCACATAAGGTAGAGACATAATTTTTTGGTTTTCTGTTAAAAAAAAATAATAACCTCATTTTACATTTTACCTCAGCCTCAATTTGTTCTTATTTTGTTCTTTTAAGCAATTTCAGCCTCAGTGTTCTTATAAAGAAAAGTGCAGTCAACATTATAAAGCATTTATATCGCTATGGACTACCGCTAAATTAACGTAGAATTCTAGCTCAATATTTCGCCAGTTCCACAACATTACCTTCAAATGATAACGGATTTGGACACATGGAATTTTCGCTCATCATTCAAACACTATGCACGTTATTCGACACAATAAAATTACCTAGTTAACAATTCATAAAATGATGTAAGTAAACAGTACTTTTAGCCGGCAATTTATTTTTCATTCGTGACCATGTAAGTTGTTCGTACGTGTTTGAACCTCCAGGGTGACCGGTATAATTAAAAAAAAAACCGGAGTAAACAAAATGAATTTGTTTTTGTAAGCAGTTGGGATAACTGAAAAACTTCAAAAGCCTTACTGTTTGCTTTGGGGCATAATTACGATGTGCATTACTAGAAACGTAATGGCATTTCAATGTATTAAGTAAATAGCGACAACATACAATGATACATGAAAGAGAATAGTTTAATTGTGCCGATGGGCAAACGGATGTTTCATGATTTTTGAGTCGGAAATCTGGCGTTCGGCAAACGGGATTTCATATAACTCCGGTAGGGTAATATGTATGTGAGTGGTGATTTAATGTATAGGTTACAGCCCGTGCAAACAGAATCAACAGGTTTCTGAAAAAAGTTATGGATAATTAACAATTAACGTTGACTTTGTTTCGATAAAAATTTACCAAATGCAGAAAACGTTTTATTTAAAAATATTTAAAAATTAAATAAATCAACTGCTTTTCTGCATTCTTTAGGTCAACCAATTTTAAACTCATTCATTTTAGAACCTATCACAAAATTTTCAAATTAAAAAATGCAAAAATTAATGTCATCATTTTGTCTGTCTCTTATACACATCTAGATGTGTATAAGAGACAGACATTACCTTAATATTATTATTGTTCATAAAAAGAATTCTTTAGAGATCTCATCTTGTCAAATGCTTATAAGAAGAGGATGTAGGCCTATCATCTATTTTTTTTTATAAATCAAGAACTAGTGCTGTCTAATTACGCATGCGAATAACATGGAAAATTAGGCGTTTTAATCTGATTTGAATTCCCAACAAAGCCTTAATGGCCTAGTTGGTTAAGGTTCTGCATAGACCTCAGAAGGTCCCAGGTTCAAATCCTGGTTTGAGCACCTGTTTTTCACACTCGCAGATTCCTATTTAACGTTTAATATGTGTTTACATTTATTTATGGCGTTACCGCAAGACGGTTTAGAGTCTGTCTCTTATACACATCTAGATGTGTATAAGAGACAGGTCTTATTATTGTTATGTCCTCATTATTAAATATGATTTAACTATACACGGACACACAATTACTGTTCAAAGATAGATGCAGAATATCGGAGAAAATAGCGGGGTATGAAGGAAGGGGTCTAATTTTTATATTCTGTTTCTGTTAAGTAAATAGCGACAACATACAATGATACATGAAAGAGAATAGTTTAATTGTGCCGATGGGCAAACGGATGTTTCATGATTTTTGAGTCGGAAATCTGGCGTTCGGCAAACGGGATTTCATATAACTCCGGTAGGGTAATATGTAAGTGAGTGGTGATTTAATGTATAGGTTACAGCCCGTGCAAACAGAATCAACAGGTTTCTGAAAAAAAGTTATGGATAATTAACAATTAACGTTGACTTTGTTTCGATAAAAATTTATCAAATGCAGAAAATGTTTTATTTAAAAATGAATAAATCAACTGCTTTTCTGCATTCTTTAGGTCAACCAATTTTAAACTTCATTTTAGAACCTATCACAAAATTTTCAAATTAAAAAATGCAAGAATTAATGTCATCATTTGGTTGTACAAAAGCCATGGCTTTAATAATAGGCCTATTCCTTCAAAAAATATTTTGCTTGGAGGGGGTGCTGTTTTATATCAAGTGTACGTTATTTCCTAACATTGCAAAAATTATACCATTCCTTTAAAATAACTCGAAAGGAAAATAATGTACTTATAGAATTGTTTATTATTCCTATTTTCATAAAATGTTGTACAAAATTAATTAGTGAGTTAGTTAACAATGACTTATAACATTTTTTATTTATATTTAGCTCTGGAAACTCTCCTCTTAACAGCTCTGAGGATAAAGATTGAATTAGGTCTGTCAGACTGTATACCCTGGTCTTTATACACATCTAGATGTGTATAAGAGACCCCCCCCCCACACCCCACACAGCAGACCGAAGAGATCCCCATAGCTGACTTGGTCGCCTGGAGCGGGCGTGCGTGTGTAGTGTTCATGAGGAACACTCACACAGGGAGAGTTGTTTTTTTTTAAAGAGTTTGATTTTCAGGGCATCCTATTCTTCCGGTATAAATCAAAAGCATTAGGGCTATATAATGCTAAAAAGTGGGTTCAGAAAAGTACCCAGCTTAAAAATAGTATACAGAAGTTAGTAACATGATTTTAAATAATGACCAATAATAATAATAATAATAATAATAATAATAATAATAATAAAAATAATAATAATGACCAATTCACAATTCGTAGGCCTATTTTAAAACTATGTAGGAATATTGCGAAATGATAACTTGTTCAAAATTTAATCTCTTTTCACTTCCATAACAGATGAATTGAGTTGGTTATACCTCCATTAATAGATAAAGTGCAAGAAACACAAACATATTATATAAATACAATATGAATAATAATAATGACTATATGCTTATATTTATACGAGTTGACGGGTATTGTGAAATACATAACGCATAAAATGATGTAGGCCTAATACATAATACCTTGAGTTTGTTATGAATACACAGGTGTACAATACGCTGTGCATATTAATATATTATATGCTGTACAATGAATAACTGCTACTATTATAATTACACAACGAGCAGGGTATCGTGATATATAAACAAGATTCAAAATAAAAGATGTGTTACGAATACCCATAATGCAATATGCTATCATTATATTTAAAAAATAGGCCTACAAATTAATGAATACCATAGAGTTTCGAGTAACATACTGCTGGTACAATTTCAATTTTACTTATTTGCCCAACCCCCAAATTTTTATAAATATTTTATTGCTATTTTTTTTTATAACTATATCTCTAAATATTTTTAAAATCACCTAAATTACGAAAAGTTAATATTGTCAAAAATTGAAATGTATATAGGCAATACAAAAACAAGCGCATGGTGCATTTTTGTTTAAATATATAACATAAAAAGACAACATGATGCGAATTCATATAATTATTTTATAGGTATCCGTATATTTAAAAATGTTAGGCCTATATTATAATTAAGAAAAAGTGGTCCGGCCAACCGGCGAGGTTCCAACGGCCCTGATTATCCCTCGCATGTATAATGGTGGACGTGATTTCAGTTAGAGTAAAAGATGGTCCCCATGGTCTGTGACGGCCACAGGGGACCCGACCTCGGTGTTAATCCCCTCGCAGGAAGGTAGCAGATAGAATTATAGTTCAATGTCACAATAAAATATTGCTTTATTAGGTTTCATATAGGGGGATCCTGGAGCTCGGGGCCTAGGTTCAAAGAACCTGTTGAACCTGCAGTAGTTACGCCATTGCTTATACAAAAATAAATGCATGGCTCTCATGCCAAATGAATTCTAGAAATAAATTCCTTCGCTACACCCACTGAAAGCTTTCTGTCGGGCACGACAGCACACCAAATATATTTCTAAGCCCAGTCGAATGGCCGAGCGGTTAACAGGGGTGCCGGAAGCTATAGCCATAATATCGGCGCTGGTTCAAGCGGCATACTCGCCTATCAGAACCATAATGGTTCTGGTGGTATAGAATAGTCTTCTCGGCTCAGAAACATGAACATATAATATATAGATAATATAACTCATTTTATAATTTGCAATACAAAAACACAAAACCTAGAATACCATATTTAAGTTATGAATACTGGCAAAATAAAAAAAACAACAACAATTAATTGGGGCTATGTAACTGGTTATCGCAGCATTTAATACTATTATTGTTATTATTATTATTATTATTATTATTATTATTATTATTATTATTATTATTAATTTATTAATTTATAAATGGGTCGAACATAAGTAGCATCTCAACGATCAACAGATACCACAATTAGGGCCTACATTGAAAGACCACCGGTATCTACCGGTGCTTTTTACCGTTTTTGGCCTACATTATAGAACTCAGTCAGATTCCTTGAATTTACGGCATAGGAAAATATTACTTGGGTCATATTCGTTTTCATTATGTTCTTTTTTTTCGAAATGTCCAAAATTTGTATACTAACCTTGGGTCATTCGCAAGCCAGAGATTACATCAAGGTTAACTGTATTATATTCATTACCGAGGAAAAGCAAAGCCGTTTGCAGAGATTTAATGATTCTACCAAGATTTTCTTCATTCTGTGCACAGTTTCTGTCTAAATCCGATGAAGAAGATGCATTTATGGAGATTAACATGAGTGTACATGCCAGCATGAAAATTCTTGAGGCCATTGTCTAGTGAAACCACTGTTAAGAGAATAAGATTAAATGGCTAGTAATAATATTGAATAATATTCTGCCGATATAAACTGAAAAAAAAATCATATTCATTATATTTTTATATAATGGACCTTGGATCTTTTCGACAAGCCCCGCCCCTTAGATATTGTTGCTAAGGTCCCACGTAAAAACATACGCAAACACGTTCATTTTTGTGGACAACACGTGTATGGGCGGCCATTAGGTCCAAAATAGACAACCATTGGCGACAATTTTTATTGTCCTTACTGCGTGACAGTGGGATTGTTCGTACGCCAATGTTTGTCTATTTTGGCCCTAATGGCCGCCCATACACGTGGGTTTCTTGGGCACGCGCGTATTCCTGACACTGCTCTGATTGGTCAGCTGTTAAATTTGATTGACACTCTGGAATGGTCCATTATGTCCATTCTTTGTGATCTGATCTCCAAAGGGGAAAATTTTCTGAAGTTCAAAACAAATAAGTTTTTGAATACATGATTTTCTTATAGTAACAGTTATTTCAATCGTAAAAATCGGAATGTCTGTATAAATAAAAATGTAAACTATAATTGAAATAAAAATTAGAAATTAAACACTTGTCAAAAGGATTAATTGTATAAAGAAAATATAGAAAAAATAAAAATACCATGCTTCTTCCTGCGTTTGACAGGCAGCACCAAACTTGAAATGACTACGTGTTACTTTGTTTCAATTTATTTACCTTTTATCATGCATGCTAAACATATACCATATCATACATTATGTTTTTGTTATTCGTGAACATTTTCAGGTGTACGATATAGAACTTGACACTGGAATTAATATTCATTATATTAATCATTATCATCATTATTATTATTATCATCAATTTAATTAAATTTTATTGTTATCATGTTATGATTTTTCTTGAAATCATATTTTCTTTTGGATAAAGGATAAGATATTTTCCCGGTTTAATATTTCAGTTCTTCACTTGGTTAATTTTTTTTTGTTGATATGGTACTTTTCGTTTGGTTTTAGATGAGCTGTTTGGTACATTAAGAATATTATAATTTTAACAGTCGCTTTACTAAGATATGTGCCTGAGAACGGTGATGAATACATATCACCACTTTAATAATTAATTAACGAGGACAAATTGATATTTAGGAAATTATCCTTATTAAGACGCCGCTTTCATCTTCTAGCCAAACAATCTTTCTTATTTCATAGATACGGCATCTATAGTTGTTAAAAGTGGTAATGGTGACTTCAACGTAAAATATTAAATGTTGTCGTAATTAATAGCAGAGTTTTTAATGAGGTACACATATTATTGAATAAACAAAAATGGAAGGTAAAACAATAAAATACAAATAAACACCACTGAAGGCCAGCCTTCAAATAAAGTACCGTATATTTAATTTTTTTCAGATAATACCCTCTAGAAAACTAGCCGATACGTCGTTTCATGTTTCAAGTTTTCTTTTTCAATGTCCGACTCTAAAGGCCAACTCAGACAGCATCGTACGACGCAGCCCGACGCGATTTGTTTATTTTCGGTAAAAATTGTTTATTTTCGGTACCGTAAATATTTCAGCCGCATCAAATTTCTTTCCTATTCTTCTTTCTTCCTATGCTTCTTCCATATCTTTGTTAAATTTATTTTACTAAATACCGGTACGTATTTACGCATGTTTATATAAATATATATAATAATATCATTTCGATACATAATTACATATTTTAACTGTACTGAAGAACTCGGCCTGTGTATATACACCGTAACTATTTAACATATTTCAAACTTTGTCAGTCTAAAAGTCTAAGGTCCTGGTCCCGACCCTTTAACATCACTATTGGATAGATAAGACTTCTACGAATGTACCCAGTACCACTCGTATATTTTTTTCTTGTGGGAAATTTTTAACCTAGACATTTTTATTCCATATCTTATATATTTACAAATTATTATAAAAGATATAAAATAATGATACATTGTATATAAACTACATTGCTATTATTCAATATTTTTTTTGTAATGTGAATTATAAATAATAATTATATATAGGCGGCCTACTATACTATGTTTTTTTTTAAATATTATCAATTATGTATCTTAATGTGTAACCACGTGTGTAAACGCGTGTAAATTCAGAAACTAAAGTGTAATAACGTATGGTAACTTACGTTTCTTTCACGCTGTAGAATATCCACTAGTCCAAATAATCACAAGCTTCAGATTTTCAACTTCCTTAAAATCAACTTCTATTGAATTGATTTGTTGGTGTTACAATTCAGGAGATCAGACCGACGAAAGAAGGTGGGTGCAAAAATGTACAATTTACAAGGTACCACAAATTCTGTGTTATATAGCTATTTGTTACAGTGTAGAAAGAAAGTGAGATAGTGACGAAAAATTATTTTCTACTCATGTACTCGGACATTTGGCGGTAGCTTCCTTCTGCTGCACGCGGAAGTTGACAAGCATGATTCAATTAGTTGATAATAATTGTCACGAATCATGGGGGCTTTTGGTTGAATAACTCTGATTGCTATTTCATTTCGGGAACATTATCAGAAGGCTGTCACCGCATGTCTTCACTTTTCCACTCTGATTCAAATATTATAATCAGGCAAACGTTGAAAAAACATCCAAGCAACAAAGAAACGCGGCTGTGATCCATATTGTGTGCGCACAATTAGCGCCCTAATTGCGTTTATTGCTCATGACGCTGTGTCCACCTTAGGCTAAAAAGTCGTATCGCTTGCTGACTTGAAGAAAATATTTTGACAGTTTGAGTTCGACTTTAACATAATCTTGGTTTGTGACAATCTTAATAAACACCCAAGTAACAAGATATCAGACTCCGGGGAAGCATTACCGTTTGCTAAAGGTCGACGGTAATTAATTACTATGATGTTCATAAATATGATTGTACGAGTTACATCATTCATTTAACATTGAAAACCAGCATTTTTGAATTGTAAGAGTCGCACCATTAATATATTCAGCACAGGGGCGAATAGTCTTGAATTTTAAAGCCAACGAAGGAATCAGTGCATTAACAACATTCCAGAACATTACCGTAGTTACCAGTTCGTCTTTTTTCGTCACAATGAAGTCACATATAGCACTAATGAAATAATATCTTAATAATTGTGAATCCAGTCATCTTTTAAATTCATGTAGGTTTTGTTCGTATTAAGGAGGAACGAATAAAGTATACTAAAAACAAATTAATCTAGAGCAGTCTGTAAACGATACCGACTCACCAATTATTGTAAATGCTATACGAGGCGACACGTGATTTACGTTAATCCTACATAAAACGTATATATCAATTGAACGGAAACATCTAGCTAATTTACGCACGAGAATTCAATATCTTCAACATTTTGAGGCATCTTGATTTATATATATTTCGGAGATCTTATCTTGTCGTTTTAAAGAGCTTAAGATTAGAGTGCATCATATTGATTTCTGTGTTATTAGCAGTGCGTTGCAAATCAGTGTTGTTCCGTCCATGCACAAAATCTTCAGATTGTTAGGCCTATACCAAATGCATGCTTCGGAGAAAGTTTTTTTTTTTTTATGTTTTACAATGAAAGTTTAGATAATGAACTGGTCGTTAAAAGAAATAATCATGAACAGCTAATATGATTTTTAAAAAAATTTAGATTAGAAATCTGGGGCAAAAGTGCTATAAAGTTACATTTTTTAAAGAAGCAATAAAATATACGTAGGCCTATATATTATGTTAATTATGTTGACATTTTAAAATATTTTACGTACATTTCCTATCCCAGGTTAAACACTAATATGTTTTACTACAGGTAGGGTCAGTCAGGGAACAGTTAAATTTAACTGTTCCCTGGGTCAGTTATACAAACGCGGTATCGCTACTTAGGTAAAGTTTGATATTACAAACTGCACTAATATCAACTCCTCGAGCAAAACTAAAAGATCATTTCATATTTTTTTCAATTATTATGTCATTAGAACAACAACATATTGAATAAACTGGCTACCACGCGGCAAGATTGCTCAACAGTAGAACAAAAACCTACTCGATCGGGCTCCATCATTCATGGTCGTTTTTCATTTTTATAATATATCCCAAAAAAAGAAAAAAAAAAATCTGACATTGACATAATAATATTCTTATTGATTTGACATGGAGGACAAGTCATCAACTATGCACGCTGATGCAACGGGGAAGGATCGGACTGTCAGAGCCCAAATACCCTCCCTTGCTGAGAAAGAAAGAGATGGGGGTTGGGGGAGTGATTTTGAAAAAATCTTGTGGCTTTAGACATGGTTTGCAAAAATTACTGAGAGCGTATCTTCTCGAATAATAAAATAATAGCTATAGTATTCTGTACGGAGACGCTACAAGAAATAATTTGCCTAAACGAGCCTGACTTGATTTAGCGACTTGAAAGCCATTAAACAAGTCTTACACTTACCGTAGTTGTTTGGTTTACGGAGGTGGGGGGGGGGGGAGGTGGAACTGTAGCCACTCAGAATCCAGTTGTGCCACCCCTGATTCCGTTATCAGCATTTTACTCAAAATAACAATATAAACGAACACATTTTACATTGAAATCAAAGAATACGTCCTTATTGTTGACTACTAAGGTCAATATTTCACATTTTAGTTCACCCTCCTACCCTTAAGGAACCCTTTTCAGGGGACATCCATATTGAGGTAATATTTTTTAGTCCTGAAGGTGTCCCCCTATAATAGGGATTCTACTGTTGTATTTTGTTAACAGACGGGTGTGTTTTAGCTGGATATGCACTTTACTGCATTCTCAGGAGTTATGACGGTGGTGATTAAGATGACATAGGTGATGGAATTGTTGAGTGATGGAAGGACTATAGAATGACATCAAAATAAGCCCATTATAAATGGGGTCAAAGCAAGGGCAAAGATCTTTTTGAGAGGTAGAGTAGGGGTTGTGGCATTCGTTACTCTACATTCATCTAAGCACTACCATGGTGACGTGCGAAAATTGACACTATTAAAGAGTACACCATCATAGACAAAATAGAGCATCAACAAATTCCTCAAGATTTTTTTTTATCACTAACTTTTAATAACAGTTGTTTCATGGCATAACATCATATTCGCACTTCCATTTAGTTTATTTCAAAAATATTCAGGCACATACAGTACTTGACAAATTGACAGAAGATTAAAAGTTCTGTAGTCGAAGTGCAGGACAAATTCTTGGCAGAAAGAGAGGGAAAAAAAACAGAGATCACTGAGTGGCATTCCACTGGAAAGTGTTTATTTTATGATGCTCGGAAATGCGCTTTCATGCCTCAGTTTAATGTGATGGGGTAGGCCTAATAAAAATATACACAAGAGCAAGGATTTTGGGATGAAATATTTAATTAACCTGATATCCAATTTTGTTGGGTTGCAATCATAGAGATATAATAAGAATAGCTCTATGGTTGCAATAGACCTTTCCGGAATGTCAATCAAACTTAACAACCGACCAATCAGAACAGCGCTAGGAATGCGCGCGCGTCTTACAAAACACGTGTTGTCCCACAAACGTGTTTTAACCTGCGCCGTTTTGTGGGACCTTAGCAACAATATCCAAGGGGCGGAGCTTAGCGTAAAGGTCCATTATGAACTCAATCAATGACTTTCAATTCTTCGCCCCCAGATTCACGAGTTGACAGATATTGTGAAATACATACAACCTTTTGTAGTAGGCTTAATTAAATAAAACATGTGTTATGAATACAGTATACAATGGGTACGGTATGCTTATTCCTCATGAATAATTAACGCGAACACATTCTATAAATGCAATATGAATAGCAATGATTAAAGTCCTATTTTTATACGAGTTGACGAATATTGTGAAATAAATATAAAAGTAAACTTAATTAAATAAAACATGTGTTATGAATACACAAGGTATAATATGCTATGAATTATTTAAATAAACCTAAGATTTGTCTTTTGAATTAGGCCTACAAGTGAATATGTTAGAGTTAACAGCCTGCTGGTATGGTATTTTTCCCCTTTTTATTTAGTCAATAATTTGACAAAAAGGTCATGTGGTATTCCTCCATGGACAGATCTACCAGGTGATAAATGTCAGTGGCGCCGAGAGGCCGGGGCTACGGGGCAAGTGCCACGGGGCCCGACGCTGACAGGGGACTGGGATGGTAGGGAAAAAAAATAACCAAATAAAATAAATAAGCTAAAAATAAATAAATAAAAATGATTAAACATCGATGAAAGCTCCAAATGAGTCGCTTCTAATTCTTTTTCATGAATATTTTCACGACTTCTACTACTCAAGATATGAGACGTCAATTAATAATTATCAAAGGCTTGGACCCTGGACATACCTCAATATACATCCAAGTTAGAAAATATGAATAGACCTGATAGAGAATTGATTGTAAAATAAATTCAAATTCAAATTCGAAAATTCAAAAACTTTTTATTGTCCAAATTATATAAAACATACAATGTTTACTCAATTAATATATTAAGTACTCAAGTAATATATTAAGTGGCTAATTAAACTCCACCCCTCCTAAATTTTTAAAAATAAAAAAAATTGAGTAAAAAAGAAAATTCTACTCTAATTTTAAGAGTGGGAGAGTGCAATTTCCGTCCGTCTAAAGATGCCATAATCATACATTTACTTACCTCAGCCCCAACAATGGTGGGGCTGTGTAGATAGACCTTCCATCTGTGAAAGTCCTTCAAGTTTTTGGGCTCTATTTCATTTCCTGGATCCGCCACTGTAACCTTTGATATGATGATTCTTTTCAGCTCTACGTTTCAATTAAAAAAAAGGATATCTTGTACTTTTCATGTTTACGTTTCCATACTTTATTTTTCCTGACCTGGTAAAATTAAGTTTTCTAGATAGGCCTATAAGCCTAATCGATTAATTTTCAATTATGATTAATTTTTTTTTCTTTTTGTGAGATCAGTTTAAGATATTTTACTTCTTAGTACAAAATTATGCTAAATTTCATATAAATGGGTCTAAATTATGCTAAAAAGCATAATTATGCTAGGTCTGGCCCGGAATTTATCAATCTCAGCTTAGCAAATGTCTTAAGTCAAAAAAAGTTAAGAGTGTCCTAATCTTAAGCTGATTTATTACCCAATCTAAAATCGTCTTAGATGGCGCCAATGTACAATCGATTTTTCTAATTTTAAGCAGTTTTTAAGCTAAGCAATATGGATAAATTTGACTTAAGCAAAAAAATGGACTTAAGACGAATTTAAGCTGATTTCTAGTTTCCCCCGGTCATTATGTTTAGCGCCCCCTGTTATAAATGACGATTCGCGCCCTCTACAATTGTTACTTGAATAATAATAAAAAGAAACACCAACACATGTGTGTTGGGGCATGTGGCGCAGGCGCTATTAGCCTACCTGGTGTTTGAAGGACAAAACTTAACTTAATCGTAGTTTTGATAATTAATTGTGCAGTATATTTACTAGTACGTGATTTCTTCTCTGGTAAGTACTCATGTTAACTGGTATCTTTAAGTTATACAGGAAAATGGGCATAAAATCTTCGGGAGCGGTAGGCTCCTATTCCTATTCCATGCTCCATCCATTTCGCCGGCCTAGGCCTAGGCTAGTCTAGTAGAGGGGCTGCCTAGCCTGGCCTAGGGTAGTAGTAGATAGAGGCAGTGCCTAGGCCCAGACTGTATAGTAAGGCCTGCACGGGGAGCATATTTGTGACAAACAAATTCAAGTGCAAGTAATTTCTTTGCAGCAGTAGCCTACCACCATTTGTAAATACGTGACTATCGGGCATTGTGAGCGCGATATTGTGGCAGCGACTCGACTGTTGCAACAGCCCTCTATTGTTTTCGCTGCAGAGGTTGTACTTATTTTTTCTCTGTGACCCGAAAATAGTGATGACGTAGTTCACATGTTCCTCTTTCACCTAGTCATTAAATCAGTTTTTTCCGAGAAGTGAGTGAATTTACAGTATTGCCGAAAGTTAAAGTTGTCAAAAACATTCAATTTTTTTTTTTTTAAAGTCGAGATTATTTTGTTCTGAAACCAGTTTATGTGTTACTTTATATATTTATCTACAACTGGGTATAATATTTAGATAATCTGAACATTGAAACCCAGTTTTTGACCGAAAATAAAAAGTGTGTTGTACAGGCCTCAAATTTAACGGCCGCCAGTGCCCTCCCAGTTGGCCTTGGTGCCCCTGAAAATTAAGCACGACGACGGCCAATACTTGCCTGCGCTTTTGCAGCCTTGGCCTTGGTGCCCTCATGACGCTTAATATAGATCGTTGGACACGTAAAATAAATCTAAAGAAGAACGTTCAAATCTTGAAAGAAAACACGAAAGCCAAACACATAGGTCGCCTAGGCCTAAATAAGGTTGCAGTGACAGAACGTCATGAGAGAATTTCCATGTGTGTTGATACGAACTGTTTTTGCAGTTACCGTTGTGCTTGCTATGCAGCTAGCTTTGGGTGATCTGACATCATCACAGCTCAAGCGTGTGAAATTAACCTAATTGGTTGACACTCGGCTAATCTAGTTGATGACGGCCAGTTTAGAGGTGCGGCCTCCTCTCTCCGATGACGACGCTCTGAGCAACAACATCAGATATTAAACTTGAACTTTGACTGTTTTGTTTACGATCGCCAACTGCCCCTAAAAAACTAAAAGTTTATTCCAACATTGAATCGATAATATTTAATACTCTAAACAAAGTCATTTTACCATTGACAACGATGGCTTGGCTAGGCCTAGCTTGGCTTGGTCTAGGCCTACAGTAGCTTGCCTAGGCCATGCCTAGGCCTAGCCCGACTACGAATCAAGGCACTCGCGAGAGATTAGTACTGAGGCTAAATCAAATTTTGCCTTGGTGCCCTTTTATATTTGAAATTTTTGGCCTTGGTGCCTTTCCATTTGGCCTTAGTATAGTGCCTTTCAAAATCGTCATACCGGAGGCCATTTGGCCTTGCCCATAAAATCCCCAAATTCGAGTCCTGGTTGTAAATGGAAATTCCCAAAATCTGTTCGTGGAGTGCAGCGTGAGCGGTCATGCATGTCTGGTCTTGCCTGATCGCACATGACAACATGTCTATATACACACAGTTGCGATCGATTTTATGTTATGTTTTGTTTTATCCAAGTTTATAATTGTTCTGAAACCAATTTAATTTTAATTATCAATTACTTAATATGTAATATGTGTAATCATATTTTGATGAAATAAAAGTAGGACAACCATAAGAAAGAGGGAAAAAAATTATTTTCAATGGAGGGTAGGAAAAGGGTTTGGGTGGGATCGGGTCTGGTCAGGGGCGGTGGTGAGGGTCAGAACACCCCTACATATGCCACTGCTTTTGTCCTTGTGTGCTTTCAAATGTCTTATTCATTGAGACATATGTAAAAATGTTTGAAGACATTATGGCATTATTTGTAATTAATTAATTTAATTGTTATTTAATTAATAAATGATTAAATTTTAATGAGTTTTATAATGCTTCTTTTGTCCATTTTGTGTGCTTCTAAATGTTTTTTATTTTATTGAGAAATGTATAGAAACAAAAAAGTTAGAGCATTTTTTATATTTTTTTCAAGAACAAGGTCACATACTTCTCCATTGTTTACATAGGATGAAGGACCAAAATAAGGCATAATTAATAATCTCTTAAATTCTGTAACTTTTCTGATATTTAATGGATGACAATCATCTTGGTATCAATTTACTTCTATAATAATACTCTTTCAAATGATACCAGCTGCAAAGGAATTGCTTGAATTTGAAATTTTTTGTCACTTGCCTACCATTTGAAAGATGATTAATGTAGCATTACATTGACACCAAGATCATTGTTGTCCATCCAATATCAACAAAGTCACTGAATTGAAGAAATTATTAATTATGCCTAATTTAACTCATTAAAATTCAATCATTTATTATTTAAATAATGATTAAATTAATTAATTACAAGTAACTACAGTGTTCTCCCGAAGCTGTCTTAGCCGTCAATTTTACCGGTAAAAATAACCAACCAACCAGTAAAAATTTTGAGTTTGTAAAATAAAAAAAACTATTGATTAGGCTTAGGTAGTCCAGGCTGGCCCTCTTAATAAATTAACATCATTCCAGTCTATATCTACACTGTGAATTTGTGTTGTTGTGTCTTCAAGTCATTTAACCCAACTAAAAAGGGGTAACGTACCTCACATTGTGCGCATTGCAATTTTTTATGGACAAATTTACCAGTAAAAATTTTTCAGTTGGGAGAACACTGAACTAATTACCATTTTAATTACATAGATATACCTCGATGTATAAAAACATTATGGTCAAAAAGACTCAAATACAAGATTTTGGTGCTCAAGTTAACATACTGGAATACCAAAAGTCGATATGAATAAATATATCAAGTAACACAATTAAATTGGCTTCAGAGCAATAAAAACTTGGATTCAATGGAAAAAAAACAAAACATAAAAGCATGACTGTGTACATGTGTATCGCGATGTGATTGTACTTGCAGCAACACCAGACATGCATGATGTCAGCCTGCACCACACAAACAGATAGATTTGGGGAATTTCCATTCACAAACAAATTTTTTTTTTTCGGTAAAAAACTAGTTTTCGTGTTCAGAAATATTACACCCAGTTGTGGATGAATAAGTAAACTAACAAAACTGGTTTCAGAACAAAATAAACTTATCTTCTGAAATAATTGCATGTTTTTAACAACCAAAACTTTCAGCAATAAATTCACTCACTTCGCGAAGTTGGAAAAAATTGGTTTGATGACGAGGTCAAAGAGGAAAATGGGAATTACATCATCAGTATTTTCGGGTCATAGGTAAAAATTAATACGACCTCTGCAGCCAAAACAGTAGAGGGCTATGCAGACAGTTGAGTTACTGGCAGAAAATGATCGCGGTGCCATGATATCGCGATCTCAACGGCTGATAGTCACTTTTTTTTGCGCATGCAGTATTTTCAAGTCTGAGTTATCCTCAATGATCCACTCCAATGATCAGCTTCTTTATGTGCTTTGCGCGGGCCTTTTTGTGTTTGAATTTAAAAAAAATGTTTGGGATTCTGGACTTTGTCCTACTGTAGGCCTCTGTGTAAATCATTTCTCAAGGTATTTTGAATTTCTCACTTGTACAGCAAAGTGACTGCTGAATCACCGCATATTCTTTTCGACCAAAACACTTAACTACAGTAGAGGTGACATTCTCCAAAGCACATGAATCATAAGTAGAGTAAATAATTTATGATTTCATTATAGAATAAACTATAAACTGTAGTATAATATACAGTAAGCTGAGCTGAAATTTTGGATTTTTCTTAGTTACTAAAGTTACAACAAACACTAAAAATTTTAACAAAATCTGAGACCTTGACTTCATGGCTACGTTGAATTGGCATGGAATGAACCAGCAGGAATTTCCTTGAATAGCATAGTTAACAACTTGAGAGATTTGAAATGTGTGACTACACCAGTTGGCTAGCTGAGGGCTAGTGGGGTTCTAGAGGCCCCGACGCTCCGACGATCTCAGCAAAACGAATTCAGGAAGTGTTACCGGGTACGGTAAATAAACATATATTTTTAATAAAGCCACGTCTAATTTGAGTTTCAATACGTTTAATATACCCAAAGGTACACAAACAGTTTATTACTTAACACAAACAAAAAATGAATAATCATATCCTACTGATCAATTTTTAGTAACGCGTCAGTGAAGAATGAAGTACTTATTCACAAAAATACTGTTTTAATGACTCAAGTTACTGCATGACCATTTTTATATTTTAAATAAAACCAATTTCTTCTAATTTTAAATACATTTTCCCCTAAATTTGTGATAAATTTGTTATCACGCATAGACGTGTGCTAAATGCGTTACAAATTTATGATCACGCATGTGTTTATCTAAAATCACTTTGAAATGCAGGACCGTCCCATACGATGCGAGACGATTGGTAACTATCGAATAGTAGAAAATGAAATTCATAGTTCAACTAAGCACTTTTTATTGCCTGACCTGAACTGTGTAATGGAATCTTAGTGTGGCCTTAGGAGCATACCGTTGAAAATAAATTCATTTCAATTTCATTTCAAATAGAACATTTATTTTCTTTCCTTGTTGAAATATGAATAATAAGATTAGATAATCTACAAAATCAATAAGCATAGGCCTATAGTAAATAAAACAATTAAGTTAAATATTACAAGTTTAAGGAGAGGCCTATTACAAAAAACAGATAATCATTTTTTTATTTTAAAGGAAATTAAATAAAATGACAGATATTATAAAATTCAATTTCTGATTTTTAAGATAATAAAATATAACATTTTGATTAATTTTTTTAACTTTTATTATTCCCTAAAGAATAACACAAGACATAAATGTGTATATTATGCCGGTGCTGGCAGATGTGACAACATCAATGTAATGCTGGTCTATTTCTCTAGCTTTTTCATTATGACTCATAAATGTCTACAGACTTTTTCTGGATGTTGAGTAAAGGACTTATTGGAAAATAATAACATTACATTTTTTAAAGTTAACCAAAAGTTTATTTATTAGCATAAAAATAATTTAAAAAAAAACAGAGTTAAGTTCGTTGTTAACAACATTTATAATTAATGTATTAATACCTTTATCCTACAAAAAACCTGAATGCCCTTTTTTCACAACATCCGAACTCTTTTCGTAACTTGTTACCAGGCTTGTGAAAAACCAGGAAATCATCATTATCGTATGTCAGACTTTGCTGACCATTATTCGCTAAACGCAAGTGGTCAATTTTGTTACAAGACCAACCAGTAATTCTATAGTCTACTTCGTGAATACTTACTTGGATAAACCGACTAATTGCCTATTCTTTCTCACACAAGAAACACCCCTTGAAAAATAATAGAACAGTCGACTCCTGGCTCCATGCACAAGCGGCCCGCAACCATGCAACTTCCTCATTCTTTTTCATTGATTTATGTAATTGATCTTGTTTTCATGTTGAATCCTCGATCACGGTTAAGTTAAACTAACTTTTAATTTACATAAAACAAATGACAAATCTGTCAAAAAATGTACCTGGCGTTGTCCTTTATGGTATGACTCTCTTGGCTACTGTACTATAGCGGATTCTGTTCCACACAACATCCGCAGAAATGACATTCCTTAGATTACCAAAGAAATACGTTCACTTATGCGTAAAAGAAACAGTACTTACCGCAGAGCAATGAACACTCAAGCTCTGAGTGCGTTTAACAAATATAAAAAATTAAGAAACTCGGGTGTTAAACCTTTACGTAAAAGTAAATTTAAATACTGTACTTTCTAAATCTTTGCAAAAACCCTTCACCTTAGCAATTTTGGAAGGGTATAAAGAAGATTACAAGCAAATGTAATACGATCCCTGACATTGTAATAGATAATATGACATACTGTACAGTTCTAGCACAGATAATGTACTAAATGATTATTTTTCAAGATATTTTAATCATGTTAATGTTGACCCATGTTTAGAATATTTACCTGATGCTTCAATTAATAGTTTTCTGTACATCGGATAAAGTTGAGAAGTTGATTAGAGATTCCAATTATAGTTCCGCTAGTGGGCCTGATGGTATTTCTGGAATGGTGATTTATTCCATGTGTAACTTTATTTCACCGTCATTGTCGCGTCTTTTCTTAATTGTATTGTAAATGGCCATTTTCTGTCTGTTTTTAAATTATCTAACATTGTACCTATATCAAAAGGTGGAGATGCTACATCCCCTTCAAATTATATACAAATCTCCATCTCAGCATACCGCTTGAAAGACACTTTATAATTGTTTATGATAATCTTCTAGGAATGGGTGGATTCAGTAATGCTCAATATGGGTTCAGGAAGGGCCGGTCTACTGTCTCTGCCCTAATAAATGTTATTCATGACTGCCATACAATAAGCAACTACAGTAGAATTATCTCGTGAAGTTTCATGTATTTTTTTTTATCTACGTAAAGCTTTCGATTCCGTCCCTTTTCAATCTTTGTTGAATCATTTTTGTCGTCTTGAAATTAATTGTGTACTTCTAAAATTATTAAGTTCATACTTTGAAAATAGATATCAGTATGTAGTATTGGATTGATTTCATTCTGAATGGACACCTATTGTATCTGGAGTGCCACAAGGCTCGATCTTGGTCCCACTCCTATTTCTCAGTTATATTGATATTACAAATTTACAATTGGGTCATTCCATGGCAATTCAATGTGGCCACAGAAGTCACTGTCTCAGATTTTGTTTAAATTTTCAGTGTTTGTTGTAACTTTAGTAACTAAGAAAAATCTAAAGTTTCAGCTCAATCAGACCAATACTCTCTGAGATACCAGTGTCCGAAAAAGTGGGCGTGGCACCTCAAAACAATATTTAAAAAACTTGGTCTGGAATTAAGGAATGTGCTTCAAATCTCCTCCAAAAGAAACAATACAAACTACATAATACTGCTGATAGTTCAATAATTTTTTTTATGGACATTGGGCCTAAACTTGCAAGCAAAATTCCCTATAATCTCAACATTAATATTAATAATTATTATTTCTAAACCCAACAGGTGAAAATGAAATTCTTAAAATTATTAATTCATTTAGCAACAATAAAGCTCCTGGTTTAGACAGATTTAATGCATCTTGTAAATTTTTAAACCCCTCTGCCATAATTTCAATTTTTCCATTTCTTGTGGAGTATTTCCTGACAAACTAAAGTATGCGATAGTAACTCCTGTTTTTAATTCCAGAGATCCTTTCTATATTCTCTAAAAATACTTGAACGTACAGGTATAATTATGACCGGACTTATTCTTTTATCCCAAAATATAATTTGTTATTTGAGCATCAATTTGGATTTAGTGAAGGTTATTCCACTTCTATGGCACTTATAAAACCTACTAACAACATTCTTGATTCTTTTGAAAGAGTTTAAAGAGTTACCAGTTGGGTGTAGAGATAGATTTTTCAAAAGCATTTGATACTATAAATCAAAAATATTTTGTTAACTAAGCTTTTTTATTATGGTATTTGAGGCATTGCACTTGATTTATTCAAAAGTTATCTTTCTAACTTTACACAATGTACTAAATTTGTTAATACTACCTCCGACTTTCGTTTCGTTTCTGTGGTGGAGCAAGTCTTCTCGAAAAAGGACTATAAACTTAAGCCCCGTTTTACACAATTGGCTCATGTGCACTATAACGAACCCAGTAAATCTTTCGAGACGAGTATGGGGTTACCCCGGGGAACTGGTCCATCTTACAGCCCCAGCCCTTATCCAGTGCGAAAACACACTGACAGGTCTATACTTACTGAGTCTGTACTAGAATGGAAGAAGCATAAGAAGGCCCATACAACGGCTGAATCGCAAAACAGCCAGAGCAGCAGATTCAGGACGACAAAGACTTGAAAATAGCGCATTTTAATTGAATAACTATAATAAAATAAAATTTTTTTGTTAACTGATGATGGGTTGAAGGTAACCCGAAACATGTCTTCCATTAAATCTTTTGTGTTATTTTTAAAATGCGTTGTATTTTTTGTCAACTTACATCCATTTGGTTCTATTATCAAGGATTTCAGTTCAAGAAGATTACCAATTTTTTTATTAAGAAAATATGAAAAGATTACTCTTCGTTTGAACAAAGCTGAATTGGATTTTAATTTTTTACATAATTGCAAGTCATTCTGAGTTTTTCCTAAAAATATAATAAAATAGTATTTTGTATTTTTCGACTGACAGTAAACTCCAGAATCTACGGTATTATCAACCACTTTTATTTTTGCATTGATTCAAATACAAGGCCCTTACAAAGGCTGATTCCCGGGCCATAAAAGTGAATGGTGCGTCTTGTGTCGCTCTATTTAAATCGAACACGGGTCCCTCGCGATATGCACAGAGCAGCTGATCATTGAGGCTGACACAGACTTGAGATAAGCGAATGCACAAAATATGTTCTATAAGGATGATTATGAATAATTCATGAGATTTTACCGAACTATCCTACGTTAAATAAAATTTAGGGCAATCCTAGTTTAGGCTTTTAATTTTTGGTTAGGTTCAGTTGTAATCAGTGCTTCATCTAGTCCTGCGTACAATTTAATGCTGATATTTAACTCTTTGTTGTATATCATGTATGGTTTTAATTGGTAACCATCTGAGTTCCACATGTATCTAGGTTTATTCATAAGAGCGTTTAAAATATTTTGTCATTTTTGAAATTCATAGCTTTCTAATGTTTTCAATTTGCTACACCGTATGAGGGGTTGGTTTACCCCAATGCTATGGTTCATTTCGTCCCCTCTCTATGTCTGCTACGGTAGTCACGGACCACGCCCATACACAATTCAGAACATCTGAACCAAAATTAATAAAACAAAGCAATCATCCTTCATAATATGTCCTAATTATTATTAAAATTATTAATAACAGACTTACTAAATATTATGCAGTCAGCCTGTTAAATTGTCTTTATATACAGTATTTTCAAATTGCTTGCAATACAAACCAAGGTATTTGTATGAGTTATGTTCATAAATGTGGCTACTGTAAATCGCATTGTCTTATTGGGGTTTTTTTTTTACATTTATTAAGAAGCAGAATGAAAGAATACAGTATAAGTTTGATTTTGTTCTGTTATTTTTTTGTAGAGCAGCATGTTGATACAGTCGGCAAGAATGTTAAGAAGCAGTGGTGTTCAGCTTCAGGATGAGTAGTAAAATTAAGAGAGTGGATAGCAACATAAGAATACAGTGTGCTGGTAAGTGGAGAAATATTTAATTTTTCCATCCAATTGTGATATAGGCTACTAGAGTGTTAGCCATATTGTAGTTAATAATCGCTACGTTATTTGTTATAAAGTTGTTGTCCTCCTTTATTTATTTATTGTAGGGCAATAAAATAATGATGTTAAATACATATACGTGGTTCTCCATCTCCTCGGATTTCACAGTGTTTTTTATTCTGGTTTATTATTAAAACATTTTGATTGGCAGCACAAACTAAATTCCATCAAAATTTATATATGTAAAACAATACAAAAGAAATCAGACACACAAATAATTAAAAACAGTTGAAACAATCAGAAAACACTAGTTTCAAATATAAAAAAATTTAATATATACATATATTTCTCTTCT